GCTCTCCATCGTAGTTCTTCAGGCAAATGATGCCTAGAGGTCATTATTACGAATTGGCTATCTCAGATTTTCAATGTCGCAATCACAGTAAAATTTGTGTGCTTTCTCTCAAACTTGGACTTTTATGCTCCAGGCAGATGACGTAAGCCGAGTGCAGCGCCACTAATTTGCATATTGCAATTTTACTCAGCTACTCTTAGTGGACAACATATGCAAATTTTGCACGGTTTGGCTTACTTTTGAAAGAGTTATCGCTATTTTTGTGATTTTTCCTTAATTTATGATAACCAGTGTAGATCCACGCCTCATAACTCCGCCCACTTTCTAGCAAATTATGCTTTTATATTCTCTTTTCCGAAGGTGTTTGCAATTGGGACCATTGTATTATGTTTACCGGAAAGTTCTGTCCGTGAAAGTACCTATACCTATATGTATTTTCGATCTGAGCACCAGCCAATTTAATGCCTTTATCTCATACATTTGTGTGAAAAGTTCGAAGAATTCGGAGCGAAGCTCCGTGAGATGTTAGGAGTAGAGAGTTTTTTTTAACTGAAACTAGTTGTAAACAGTCATTGGGATGTCCGTGAAGGTATACGCCTCCTTTGTAATGGAAATGATCATTTTATAAGCTTGAACAGACACAGCATATATGACGCAAAGGGACATGTGCATATTTATTAAAATTTGTAATGAAAATATCCAACAGGACAGTAGTACGTCTGATGTATACATTTAAGGTAAATGCCCTACCACCTATTTTTTGTAAAGACACATTTCGCCCATTGTACTGGAACATGAGTTTCTCACGGACTCATTTTTCTGCTAATCCTAATATTAAACTTGTTCACAAAATAAAGCCTTTTCCCACCCTTCATTTAATATTCATTTTTATCCATTCCTTTCTATTTGGAACTTTTTTATTGAATGCACATTTAAATAAGATAGTAGGAAAAAAAAAGCACTTAATATAGTAGGAAAAAAAAGAAGAAAAAACACATCTTTCAGGGAATTTCATGGTTGGGTTATGCATTAGAAATTTATGAATGAAATGTACACATTATTATTTTATTGTATTATCATAAAACGTAACATTACTACAGGATGCGTGGCAACAGGAATATTGTGTTGGTTATAAACGTAAATGTTTTCTAATTACAATCAACACTAAAACAAGTATCTCATAGAACAAACTCTTTTACTATCACAAATGTACACAAAAAATATATAAAACAAATATGTTGCCAACAAAAGAATAAATGTAAGAAATAATATAAGAAATAATAAAAGAAATAATCACTGCATCTGCGATCACGCACTTGCGTCTGGAACATCCTCTCCACCCTGATCAACCTCAAGAGGAATGATCAATTGAACAGGTCGGGATATTTCCTTGCCATCAGATCGTAAAGTACAAGTGCGGACTTTTCCATCGCGTCCTTTTATTAGTCCGGTAACCAAAGCTCTTTTCCACGTATGCCGTGGTCTTACATCTTCGTGAAGTAGTACTATGTCTCCAACACGAACATGAGATGATTTTTGAATGTTACGAACTTTGGAAAGATCTTAATTGCAATAAATAGTTCTTAGACCATTTTTTCCAAAATGCGTCTAATAAATCCTGTTGTTGCTTGTACAATTTTGTCAGATTTCTACTTGATGCTGCAGGCTGTGAAGGTATGGTTGTAAGTCTTTTACCGGTAAGAAAATGGGATGGTGTTAATGTTTCTTCAGGATCATCATTTCCTTGTTCATAAACTAACGGTCGACTATTTAATGCGGCTTCAACACCAACTAATGCTGTAGAAAGACCTTCTTCATCTAACAAGGTTCGACCAAGGGATTTTCGCAAACATCTTTTTGTTAGTCCGATCAAACGCTCCCACCATCCTCCCCACCAAGCCGCTCGTGCAACAATAAATTTCCACTTAATTCCCGTCTGGGCATAATATTGCTGAACTTTTGGGAACATAAAATGGATAGCTCTTTATTAGCGGCATGGAAGGTAGTGGCGTTGTCAGTGTATATTGTAAGAGGGAGTCCTCTTCTGCCTACAAATCTTTTTAAGGCCATGAGAAATTTGTCAGTAGTGAGATCAGAGACTAGTTCAATATGTACAGCACGAGTAGTTGAGCAAGTGAAAAGTGCGATATAGGCCGTATTTAAAGATTTCAAGTTACGAACATAAAGTGGGCCAGTGAAATCTATGCCAATAGTAGTAAATGGAAGCCAAGGTGTAATTCTGTCTCTTGGTAAAGGAGCTTCGAGTTGTTGACTTCTAGATGCCTGTGAGAGTTTACAAGGTAGACATTTATCGAGCACTCGTTTAATGGCTTCACATCCCCGTATTATCCAGAAGCTGGAACGAATTTCTGAAAGTACTATTTGAACACCTAAGTGATGAAGCTTCACATGTGTGTAGTATATGAAAAGATGTACAAAAGGATGAGAGCCATCAAGAAGCAAAGGGTGCTTTTGCTCATTTTTGAACGATGCAAACTGTAATCTACCTCCTAATCGTATGAGATTTTCTCGAAGAAATGGGTTAAAACGGCTAATTTTTGAAGATTTTGGCAAAGGGGAATTATTTTGTAAAGCGTTAAGCTCTGCCGAAAAGCATTGCTGTTTCACTGTGAGAATCCAATAGTTTTTTGCTGTGTTAAGCTCATCACATGTCAGGTCAATAGAATTGCGTTGCTTGGATCGACAGTTATACAAGAAGCGAAATATCGATGCTGTAAATCTAAGAAGTTTCATATATGAACTGAAGCGCGATATATCAATAAGAGGTTGGTAAGAAGTTATCAATAAAGATTGAGAAGCTGGTTTACGTAGTTCAGCATAAACATCTGGATTAGCGTCACTCAGTTGTTTTGAAGGCCAAAACTTTGATGATTGTGTTAGCCAGGTTGGTCCTAGCCACCAAAGATCCAATGATTTAAGCTCTGTTGGTACAACACCACGAGACAAATGGTCGGCAGGATTTTCATTGCCAGAGCAATGCCGCCATTGTGTTGGATTTGTGTAATTGAGAATTTCGTTCGTTCGGTTACAGACAAAGGTTTTCCAACGATTTGGATCACCCTGTATCCAATTTTAGACAACTGTTGAGTCACTCCAAAGTGTCGCTGTGTTTTTATCCAGTTTAGTTTCTGTACAATGTATTAAAGCATTTTGATGCTACGTGATAGTTATTTGAAGAAAGAGTAAACTCTTTCTTCCAAGGTAATCTAACAACACGACGATTTTCTAGGACTTCATAAGAACTGCAAAAGTCTTCTAATATTTCAGAACTGCGAATGGACATTTCTCTGTCTTGCATGACTTTAATACCTAAAGTATCTAAGTCCCAGAATTTCCTAACTTGATCATCCAAAGTGTATGGTAATTTGATACTAATATTATGAACTGACGATAAAGAAGCGACAGATGTATGAGATCTGGATCCAGACAAAATCCAGCCAAAGACTGATGGAATGAGCACAATTGTTTCCGAAAGTCTGAAAGGAATCTCAGAATTCACCACCGTCCAGTAAAAATCTGCACCAATCAAAACTTCTATAGGCCTCTCTTGCATGGTGTCATTCGGATCAGCAAGCCTAATTATTTTCTTGTGAGCCGTAGAAGCAATCTCTAATGGAACTGATGGATGAACTGCATATCTATTAGGACTTTCAAATGCATGTAGATAAATTTCTGACTGATTCCAAATACTTGATAGTTTAAATCTTACTTTTCGTCTCGATTGAGCCTGATTTGATGATGATTCGAATGCATGAATTTCAAGTGAATCAGAGCTAATAACATCTAATTTTAGGTAGTCTACAAGATGTGAATGAATGAAACTGGTTTGACTTCCACAATCTAAAATGCATCTTGTAAGCTTAGTAATGCCAGTTGGGCCAGTTATATATACTCGAGCAGTCTGTAAGTGAGTAAAATTAGGTGTACGAGTATCTATGTTATTTGTAGAAATAGAGTGGCTAGGTTGATTTGAACTGTTATTTTTACAAATAGAGACATGGTGCTTCTTTTTGCATCTTATGCAGAACGCTTTATCTTTGCGAAGGCAATTTTTTATACTATGGCCACGATTAGTACACAGGAAGCATCTACCAGAGGTTTTTAATTTTTGGATTCGAGTATCGATATCAGTTATATTCGTACAATCTTGCGGCCAGTGACCGTTAATTTCACAGAAGGGGCAAAATGGAGATGGTTTTTTAGTCTGGTAAATCTTTTTAGAATTCACATGCAAAGCTGCTGTAGATGTCTTAAATATGTAATCAAAGTTTTGCTCACCTCGAATTTTTAGTGTTGTAAGAGCACCTTCTACTTCTTCAGATAAGTATTGCACTAGTTTATTCATATCACCTTCTGATATTTTCTCTCTTTTTGCGTAAATAATCCATCTGCGCCAAATATCATCCGGAAAGGCACGTAAAATTTTTGGAGCCAAAACTCGCCCGTAAGCGTTAATATCCTCCCCCAAAGCCGTTAAAGCGTTTCGTCTTCTGTTGCATTCTATAAATACTTCATTCAATACAATAGGAGTGGGATTACGTATTGGCGAAATATTTTCCAAAAAGTCTAAATGTGCTTGAATCATTCTGTTTTTGTCACCATATCGATTTTGAAGAAGAGCTTTTGTAGTTTCATATGTGTCGGCACTAATACTGATTCCGTCGACTAAACGTCTTGGTTCATCTTCTAAATATCCTCGCAAAAACACATGTTTATCAGCTAATGATAAACTATTATTATCGTCAATAGAAGATTTAAATTGTTCCCATAAACACTGCCATTGTTCAATATCTCCTCGAAAAGTATCGAGTTTAATAGTAGGAAGTTTCACTGTGTGAGATTGAGAAACGGGTAATTGCATAACGGGTACTTGTGTAACTGGTATTTGAGAAACGGTTACTTCTGGCGATCGCGACGTATTAGATTCAAAATTATTTCTACTACAAAATTTTTTTGCTTTAAAGATAGCGAGCTCGGCATTATCCATGTATTCTTCACATTGAATAATATCATTGTCATAATCACCATCTGTTAATAAACTATGATTGTCATTATCCAATTTCTTCATTTCTAACAAGCAATCGGAAAGCCGATGACTAATATATTCGACATTTTCATTTAAAGTGTCAGAGGTTGCAGAAAGATCAGAATTTAATTTCGTAATAAATCGAGTAACATTACCTCGCACTGTTCTTCTTTTTCTTTTCAAAAGTGCCAGACTATCGCCAAGTTCTTTTTCGTTTTGTTTCTCCATCATTGAGTAATACTGATGTTTGAAGTTTCGTTAGTTTTTAAAAGAGTGACAGCGTTAATTATTCATCTGATTCGTACTTAATTTTAAACCGAGTTGTTTCGGCACCAAAATGTGTTGGTTATAAACGTAAATGTTTCTAATTACAATCAACACTGAAACAAGTATCTCATAGAACAAACTCTTTTACTATCACAAATGTACACAAAAAATATATAAAACAAATATGTTGCCAACAAAAGAATAATGTAAGAAATAATAAAGGAAATAATCACTGCATCTGCGTTCACGCACTTGCGTCTGGAACAAATATATAAAAGGTTTCGCTTATTCGCCATTGTGTAGTATTATTTAACTAACTTTTTTAATAACTTCTCGCCGCTGCGTTATTTTTCTTGTTATTAAATCTTACCCTTATATTGCGCGGCTATTTTTAAAACATCTTATTTATTTCTTCACTTCTAAGCGTTGCTATTCCATCGCAACAATTTAAATTCTTTCGGTGAAATTTTAAACTCTACTTCAAACGAAAAAGACTTCTTCATTGGACTACATCTAGAGCAGGTAATAAACTGGTTAAGAAACAGCCAAAAAAATTATTAGCTTGTTTATGGTGGACTCAAATTTTGTTGTGCAGGAATTTAAATAAATTTTACACAAGTTTTTGTCAATGTGATAGATTCAAAAATATATAATAAGGACTTTTAATTAAGAAAAATAATACGCAATTTAAGGCTAAGGATGAAAACAAGCTATTTCACTGTAATGAATAATGCGATTGGTCCTAAAAACAAACACATGGAAGAGTGACACGGGAATTTCAACTTTTTAATGCAATTTTCTTCAAAACTAATGACGGGAAGAAAGTGGATAAACGTCTAAAAAATTCCAAAAATAGCAACATCTGAAATGTTAAACCCTTAAAAAATTAATTATTGAGCGAAACTCTTCCGTAGTATGGAAAGTATTTTAAATGATATTTATAATTTTGATTAAAAATTTAATAGGTAGAAATGGGCAGTTAGAAATTTCCATTGTCTCCAGATTTTACATATCTATTTATTTATTAATTTTTAAAAGCAATTGAGTAGGGGAGAGTGGGGTCAATTGTAACAGGGTACGATTGTAGCAGAACAAAAATTTCGAGTGCCGGGATCTAGATTTGGTTCCTAGGTGGCACACACGGTGTATTTATTAAATCTACATGTACACCCCTGCTGGCAACCATTTTTATGTACTTTTGAAAGAGTTACATCACAAAATATATTTTCACGCTACACAAGGACTTTTTTTGGTATTAGAATATTATATTGAAACAAAGTAATTTTGCTTAAACAAATAAAAATTATTAACTGAATATGTAAGTGGACACCTTAATTAACATTTCAAAAAAAAAAGATTAGCTTTGTTAATTAACTAGCATTGTTTTTAACAAATGAAGCTGAAATGG